AAAAAAAATTTTTCTATAAAAAAAAAAATAAAAAAAAAAAATAAAAAAAAAAAAATAAAAAATTTTAAAAAAAATGTTAAAAAAAAAAAAAAAAAAAAAGGAAAAATGTCTATGAATATTATTTAAAAATCTAATAAAAACTTAATGTTACACCTTAAGATCCGTAGTTGCTTGGTGATATGTTTGGATCTGACGTTGATATTCTTCTAAGCGAAATTGCCTAACACCTCGCTTTAATTGTTCCAGGAAAACAAAAGTTAAACAAAAATGAGGTCCAATTCGCATAAAATGAGTCCAGAAGCCTCGGTATAAAGCTGTCCATCCTTCATTCTTGATGATGGTTTTAGTAGTTGAAAGAAGGGATTGCCTCGGAGAGATTGATGTATTATATAAACGCGTTCGACTGTTGAAAAAAATTAAATAATTTAATATTATGTTGTAGGAAAGAATTAAGTATCATTTTACACAATAGTATTACTTACACAACATCCATAGGATTCATAAAAATTACACTAACGAACGCGCTCATCAAGCTACACGCCATGTCAAGCGGAATGCCGTCAGAATACCCTTCACGTTTAGCGTAATCCTTTAACATAGTATAGGATGATAAATTTGCTGCACTTCCCAGTATCCCCCGTCCAACAGATATCATTGATCCACGATAAAGTCCTTTTATGCCACCTTCCTCAAACATAATACGTCGCAGTGCTGAAGTCACTGATGTATAACCATATTGGTTTCCAACCGCAATGGCATCTGCTGCAGAGCTTTGTAATCGAGTTTTTACCAATTCAAAGGGATTGGCTGATACCGCTCCTAAGGCACCACATAAGCCTCCCGCAAACATTCGTTTCCAGGCAGGAGCGGATGACGATGAGGTATAATCATCAGTTGGATGAATCACTGAGAGAATTGGATCATAAAGTCCCTATTAAATGAATGTTAATTAATATTAATTATGACTCAAAATATTTTCATATTTTTAGTATTAGAAGAATGTTTTACCAAGCGAAAGACATTTTTGGAGCTTTCTTTTAATATGGAAGGAACAAGTCCCTTTTCCAGACCTCTTAAGCCTTCGAATTTGTAGGTTTTTCTTAAACAATCAAAACTATTCTTGTAAACCTATGAAGAAAATTTTTAGTAATTAATATATATAAATAGTATTATATCGATAATGATTTATTGAAATATACCTTTTCAGCAACAACTCGAATTGTCTTGCCCGTCGAATCCTTCATAATTCTGACTTCACCTTGAAGTTGCATTCTGACTTTAACGGTGTCAAACGGTAAAGTAAATACAACTGCCATGCTTGGTGCCATGGCGCTCAGAGCAAAATTCTCTAGTTGAGAAATATTTGGGCTTGGTGGAAGCGTCTTCAGCGGTGGTGCCGATGAAAGAGATAATTGTGATGAAGGCGAAGAGCTTTGTGGCTTTCCGGATAACATTGTGACAAAGTATTTCTTAAAAGTCTAATATGACACGGCAACTATGGATTACTATGGATTGATTAGGTGTTTTTTTATTCGTCTCCTTTTCAAGTATGTGTTATCTCTATTAATTATAGGCATATAATTGAAAGCGATAATTGAAAGTGAATAGATTGAAAAAAAAAAATTGTCGAGAAAAATCTGGATAATATCAATCCCTTTTTATAAGTTAATAGGTTAATATAAATTCTATTTTAAAACTGATCGGCAATGCACAAAATTTGATCAGACCATGCCAACGTACGATGGGCTGTGACAGTAATTGTTTATTGGGTCTCGTGATGTATTTTTTACATAGATTCCAAGAGAGGAAATTTTAGATTTTTTTCCGTCGGAACATTTTATAAGTTCTTTCCTCTTTCGTTTGATGCGATTTACGTTGTTTCTATGCATTTGTGTTCTCCGTATTTGCCCGGAGATGGTGAACTAATGCAATACTGTTTCAGATGTATAAAATTTTTAATCACGTGTCATTAGTAATGTACGTACGTATGTACGTACATAAGTACTAGCGCCAATGTTTGATGACCTCGTGCAATATTCGCACTGCATACTGTGATACTGTGTATCATACCTACAATATAACCCGGAACTATCGTTTCGAATACATACTAACGATAGACCTGTTACTAGCTGGTTTCCGTGTTACGTATTTGTGAGTCATGGTAATTCAAATGAGTTAAATGGCTTATATGGATCCCGGTACGTTACCCGAGTAAAATGTGATGCTGGTACATTATCCAACTTATTAAGTTCCACATTAGGATCTCTACAAATTAATAACATACGTACGTACGTACGTGATTTACAAATCGGCGATATTAAATTTGTAGTACATACGTACGTACGTACGTATATGACTAGTCCTGTCCTTCTTTTAAATCTATATGTATATTATATTACGTATAATTGCGTATTATGCTCTATATATATTTATATACGATAATCTAATACGTCAGCATTACAAAAAAAACCTATATATAGTTAAGGGTAGAGTGTACGTAGATCATTTTTCATATGATCTCGATGGTACATTTTTTTTGTGTAACAAATTACATAGT